AACAGCTTTGTGAAATCGTGTGTGCTCTGGTAATCCGCGCGACTTGTATTTTTGACGGCGGGGAGTGCGCGCTGAGCGAATAATTGTTTAGTTTTGGATCTGTTATAGTCTGTAACTTCTCACATATATTAATATGTCATCAATATAAGTAAATGCCCGACATATTATCTTGTGAATGTGGTTTTTATGCAGTGTGGAAAGTTAATTTGTCAAGGAAAGTGGTCGTCTGCTACCGGTTTTTTCAGAACAAAAGCGTTGAGGGGCTGTTAGCGTTAGCGCGCTGCTAACGGTGTGTGTGGAGGTATTTTTTTTCAAAGCACCGATTATATTAAGCATTTGTGTTCATATTTAGTTTAATAATTAAACAGCACCTAGAAAATATACGTATCTCTATTGTTCTGTGCTAGAAACTTGCTTTGTGTATAGAATGGGGCACAGCTGGACGCATATCGGCGTCCATTTATCTCATAACGAAAAGTAAAAGAAAACCTCCATAACTTTGGGTGTGCATGAAAATTACTCGATAAAGTGGACATGTTGATTTTGGTTTATAACTAAGTAGCGCACAATAAAAGCAACAAGTTGTGACCAGGCTCGGTTTGTGCATGTGTGTGGTCTCTTTGTCTGGTATCGTGTCCGTCTCAAGTCTTTAAACCTTTAACGTTACTAATGATGCACCTATTATTTGCACAAAAGCGGTTATGTTCCTGTCACTCGAAAAGGCCTGATGATTCAGTTCTGCTTAAGCTGCGATTTGCGTTCTCAGGAAGAGATGTTCCCAGATTAAAGAGCTCTCTTGTGCCAGGTTATCTATCCCGAGTTCATGTTTCAGTTTTTCTTCACAGCTGTAGTTGACTGTGTTTCAGATATATGCTGGTAGAAGGGAACACAAAGCTGTCGTTGCTGAGATGTGATCTGTGTGGAGTATTGGCTCAAGTGTTCCATCTTTTTTTTGTAGTGTTTTGTTGACTTTGGCACAGAAGGAGCATTTCTTCTGCTTTTGTGTTGTGGTTTGTTTATGACTTTAACTTAAGATGCTGTAAAATCCTGAACAGCATTTACAGGATGCATATATTTATACAAGACATTTGAGTGCATCAGTTGAGATGCTTTTAGGGTTTAAAATGTTTGATTTGTAGTTGAGACATGAAATAGTCCTGTGTTGTGACATGCCAAACGCCGTCTAAAACATTTTAAAGGGGTCATATGATGCTTTTTTTTAAAGATCATTATTT